TTGTTTATGGTGTGAAATAAAGGTCTAAATGTATATTTTTGAATGTGGATATCCAATTATCCCAGCATCATTTGTTAAAATACTATCTTTCATCATTGAATTGCTTTGGCACTTTTTTTTATTATAAAATGAATTGATCATATATGTCAGAGTTTATTTCTAAATTCCAAATTTTGTTCCATTGATGTATATGTCTGTCTTTATGATAGTTCTACACTGTCTTGGTTGATATTATATAATTTTATAGTGAGTTTTAAAATCTATAAGTGTAAATTCTTCAGACTTACTCTTATTTTTAAAGATTGTTTTAGGTATTCTGGGCATAAATAGGATCTTATGATCTGCTTTATCTCTCTTGTTCTTAGATCTCGGTCTTAAATTCCTGGCTTCTCTCTCTATCACTTGCCCCAGTCAGTACTGAGGCCTGAGATCATAATATTGTCCTTCTCTAAATGTTCGCTGTTGAAATCATTATTATTTTCACAACACCTTTATGTATGGAATGTTTTACCTTTGTTCCAATTAAAGTCAGCTTCCTCTGGTAACACCTCTGCACCACAGAGCTAGGTGTGGGCAATGGGAGCAACTCTAAACTAAAATTCCACGGTCTCCCACTGCTCATAATGATATTTTGTAGATATTCTGAAATAAATGCTTCTCAATTTGCTGTGTGCTTTTGGTCAATTTACAGTCTTTAAATGGTTGTTTATGAAAATTTTTTCAAGTTTTACAGTTGATTTTGAAGATTTACCATGCTTCTCAATCAGCTGTTCTAGAATCCCCACTTCCAACAACCTTTTAAAATAAGAGTTTTGTAGTCACATGAGTAAAAAATATACAATCCATAGACTAAGAAAAAATATTTATAAATTGTATATTTGATAAAAGAAATGTATAATAAAACTTTTAAGACTCAAATTTAAGAAAGCAGTAACTAAATTTTGAAAATGGGCAAAAGATTTAAAGAAACATTTCATTAAAGAATGTATACGAATGGCAAACAAGCACATGGAAAAATGCACAACTGCCTTAGTTATTAGGGAAACACAACAGAAAACCATAATGAGATACTTCTGTAAATTTATTAGATGCTAAGGTTAAAACAAACAAACAAAAAGGTTAAAACAAACAAATAAACTAAAAAAGTACCTGACCATTTAAATTGTTGCTAAAGATGTGAAGAAACTGGAACTCTTATACACTGCTAGTGGGAATGTGAAATTATACACATTAACACATGTACACATGCCACTTTAAAAAAATTTGATAGTTTCTGTACATTAAACATATGCCTACCATATGATCCATCCATTCCGCTCCTAGATATTTATTCAAGAGAAATGAAAGCATATGTTCAAGCAAATACTTGTGAACAAATGTTTATAGCAGTTCTAATTGTAATAGTCAATAACTGGAAACAATTCAAATGTCAACCAGTGAGTGAATAGACAAATATAATTGTGATATACAAATACAATGGACTACTACTTAGTATGTAAAAGAATGGACTACTGACACATACAACAACTTGTATGAATTGCTGGGGAATTTACTGAATGAAAGAAACCAGAGAAAAATGGTACATGCTATATCATTCCATTCATATAAAACACCAGAAAATGCAAGCTATTCTACAGTGACGTAAAGCAGATGAGTGGTTGTCTGGGAAATGGTCATATGGAGAATGGTAGGAGGGGAGGAATATAAAGGGGCACAAGAAAACTTTTTAGAGGATGAATGTTCACTCATTATTGTGGTGATTCTCACAGGTATGTACAATATATACACACACACACATGCCAACATTAATGAAATTCTATACTTTATGTTAAGTTTATTCTGTATCAGTTATACCTAAATTAAACTTTTTAAAAAGGCAGGGTAAGACTTATAATTATTAAAATTGTCATAATATAAAACCTTTGGCATTTACAATGGAAAACTTTAGCAATGAGTCATGGGAAAATTACCAATTTCTATAAATTCTGCGTAAGTGAATAAAATAATTGTATTGATGAGAATAGAGAAAGTATTGGAGTATTGCAAATTAAGGTGCTAAGATGAATTATAACGACTGCTTAATATTTTTTCATATAATTTTCTATATAATTAGAATATATTTATGTTGAATTTTAGCCAATAATCTCCAAACATTAAATTATGATCATTTAGATAAAATGCTTGCTTAATAATTTCCTATAGTATAGTAAACATTTTCTGCGTCATTCTTATATAACTAGATTGATCAAAATATATTTTGAAAACTTAAAAAATAAATGAACACATGTGCTAACATTAAACTTAATGAAACACTTTTTCCTTTTTTCAGGGCCTTCTGTCCTTAACTTTGGTAATATTTGTGTGAACTCTACAAGTGATCATCTACTACATGTGATTAATATGCTACCTATACATATTTTGATCCAGTTTGATACTAATTTGGAAGAACTTCGAAAGACCAAGCAATTTTCATATGTGATTCCACCTACATGCAACACTAACATTTCAGTGACATTTCAGTTTACCATGCTTGGAAAATTTTGGAAGTAGGAATTACTTTCAAATTTCTGTTTGCTAGAATCTAAGTGTCCTTTTGTGGAATATGTATTTATTTGTGTAAATAATTGTAGCATATATTATAGTTTTTCCCAAAACAAACTATATGTGAATTAATTTGTAGATTCATATTTCAGTGGTAATCTAATCATCTTTCATAAGTAGTCTGAAATATTACATGCTACGAATTGTGGATATTAATCAATAGTATACTCATTTTTACATGTAATTGAATTCTATATTCACAAATAACTATCAGTTAAATTTGGATACTTTTACTGTGTTACAGGTCTTTCACCTTCACAGTGAACAACACACCCAGTGGACACATCCTTGTAATGGCAGTTGTCCGACCAGTAAAACTTGAGCTATCTTCTGACGAACTAGTATTGAGACCACAAGGCTTCTTGGTGAAAACATGGTTTCGGGGGACAATCAGATTACATAATCGTCAGAATTGTTCTGCCCAATTTGGGTGGCAACCGGTAAATACTGGAAGAGGGATGGCATTTTCCATTCGTCCAGCTAATGGTAATGGTTTATTCTGTTTGTTTGATTTAGACATTCATTTATTCATGCATTCATGTATTCAGGCATTGATCATTTATTGAGTGTGTATTGTGTACTGGTGCTAAGAGCATAGAAGTAAATCAGATGCTGTCATCAGGGGCACTTATTTTTAGATACATAAATATGATTTGAAAATATAGCTCCTATATATATACAGGAGAGAGAGAGAGAGAGAGAGAAAAGATTTTAAGGAACTGGCTCTGGCTCACATGATTGTGTGGTCTGGCAAGTTTGAAATTTGTAGGGCAAGTTGGGCAAGCTGAAGACCCAAGGAAGAATTGATGGTACAATCTTGAGTCCTAAGGCATTCTGGAGGCGGAATTCATTATTCCTCTGGGGATCTCAGTCTTTTCTCTTAAGGCTTCCAACTTATTGGATGAGGCTCACCCACATTATGAAAGGTAATCTGCATGTTAATTAATTTGCTGTGGTAATGATTATACAGTATATACATATATCAAATCATCACTCTGTACATCTTGAATATATACAATCTTTATCAATTACGTTAAAAAGTCTACTGATTTAAAAGTCAATTATAGCTAAAAATATACCTTCACAGCAACGTCTAGACTGATGTTCAACCAAACAATTGAGCCCCTCAGCCTGGCCATGTTGACAAATAAAATGAACCATCTCAGATGTTGACGGATAAAGTAATTTTTGTTTAGTTTTAGTTTGATAATGATGATATGATTCAGAATGACATATTTTTGAGTGTGAATTCTTTTAGAAGGATCCAGAAATTATTTATAGTCAATATCTAATACAGCTAATAAAATCTAATTAATAAAATTAAAAACTTAGAATTGTCATTTAAATAAGAAAATTTTTTAATTTATAGAAAACAATCTCAGATTTACCATTTTGGGTGGTGCCCTGTATTTGTTACTGTCTTCTTAACCTTGTTTCTGCCATTCCCTATAATCTATAATTCCACATGATATATCTGTCATAAAATGAATTCTGGTAACTGCTAAACTATGACTTATCTAATAGCCTGTCAAATCTGGCAAACATCATTGTGATGTGCTGCGAGCACCTCATGAGGACACAAGCTATCATTTGAGGAAATAAAATGGCAACTTAGAAGTTGAATGATCATACGGTATCTTTGTTTTATGTACATGTCATGCTTTCCCAGCTAGGTGGAAAGATCCAGATCTTTGTATCTGCAGTGACTCACATGGTGCTTTATAACCAGCTGAAGCCCAGCTTAAAGTAAAACAAACTTTGGAGTCAGACAGACCAGACTTCAAAAGTAGCCTTAACTTCTCACTAGCCAGTTTAACTTGAGTGAAGTACTCTATGAGCAACTAGTTTCTCATCTGTAAAATGGAGACAAGAATACATCTTATAAAGATTAAATGTGTGGGAAACTTCTATAATACCTGGCAAAGAGTAGGTGCCAGACAAATGGATAGCTGTTTGATTATGACAATTTTCTAATTCTGTTTGGACTTTCCTTTTTCCTGAAAGTGTCCACAGAATAATAACAGCCTATCATGCATTTTGCCATCCATCCCCATTATCAATCCTTATCTCCCTGCTTCCTGCCTTCTCTCTTTTCCTCCCTCCTTTCTTTCTTCCCTACTTTCTTTCTCCCTACCTCCCTCTTTAACTATAATTTAGAAATAGTCATTATTTAGGGTCTAAATAGACTATACTTCAGGTCACAGAGAAGTCCTGGTTTGTAGAAATCTTGCCTTAGGTATATTTTCTGTGAATATCAGTCATCTCCAAATCAGGATTTTTATATAACTCCACAACTGTTGGTAATAGGGTGTGTTATAAAATCAATCTTAAAGCTGGGTGCAATGGTGTACACCTGTAATCATTAGCTACTGTAAAATCTGAGGTAGGAGGATCATTTGAGCCCAGGATTTTGAGACCATCCTGGGCAATATAGTGAGAGAGACCTCCTTCTCAAAAAGATATCAGTCTTCATTATTAAATTAAATTCACTTAATTTCACTTAATTTTAAAATGTTGACAAATTTAACAAGTGGAAGAGTAGGACAGTCCCTTCATTAGGATTGGAGATCATTAATATGGCTGTTTAATCTTTTTATTAACCTGGATTGATTTAGCATCATCCTAGATCATCACTTATTAAACATGTGAGGTATTACTTTCATCAATATTTTACAGATTCATTTGACCAAGATATTTTTAGATTGTAATACTGATAATACTGAGTCCTGCCCCAATCTAGAGAAATGCTGAGAGAATAATTAAAGAAGAAAGAGAACATATTTCTATACATTTCATAGATTCTAGATAAACTTTCTTCAGTTTATTTGAACAAGTATCAAACAGTGGTATTTATGTTTTCAGCATTCCAGCTATAGATTCTGACCATCTGATACTGTGCTAAGGGTTTCTAAAAATTATGGTGCACTGATATTAATAATTTTCCTTTTATTTCTCCATCCTAACAAAGGTGGAATGGACTGGGTTTGCCTTGTGGCTGCCACGGAAATGCAATGATGACGTTGAATTTATATAAAAGAGAAATGGAATTACAATATTATAAACTGGAGCACCAGTTATGCTTTTCATAGTCTTCAGAACTCTTGTTTTTTATAGTGGAGATTTTGGCATTTATTATACTTTTATTTTCTTTGGGTTATGCATGACGCCTCTCACTTTTTTAACCGATCACTGAGGCACAAAAACACAAAGATACTTAATTCCAAATAAAATGTTCGTAAGAGTAATGCCATAAGTTTTTAAGGTCTTTTTCTATTTTAATAGTATCAAGAATATAATACTCAAATCTATTTTGTATAACATTGTAGAAAGTATTTATAATTTGTATTTCATACATAAATTTGCTTATGTTCTTTTCCTCAGAATATTCATATAATAATTACTCAATTTTGTATTGTTCTTGCCTCTTTGTATAAATAGAAAGTGAGTTTTTTCCAAGTTTTTTAATGCTATATTGGATTTACATCCTGGATAATACAATTAATCATGTGCCTGTCTTAATTTTAAATTAAAATTTATATTGTGTTTGTACTTTCTCCCTGAGGCATGACAGATTGTGTACTTGTGTTTGGATAGTAGATATTGTAAGGGGAGAATGCAAGAGTGGATTGGTATCTTCTGAGATAGAATTCACTTCTAATTTGACTTTTTCTGTAGGTATTCTTCGTGCTTCTGTTTGTTTTGTTTTGTGTTGGTCTTTGTTGTCTTTACCCTTACTAAAACCCCTAGTCACTCAATCCTCGAACTTGTCTTCAGTCAGTTCACTCTCACTCTCTTTCTTAGTTCTCTCATTCCTTGGTCGTATGCCGTACCTGCCCTACCAATCCCAGCCTTGCTCAATCCAGCTGAAGAGGAGAAAATACAATTTCTTTTCTCAACCCTCATAAGTATTTAATTGAGACACTGTCCTGAAAACAAAAGTCAGACTAACAAGAGAAAAAAACAGAAATTTATTGATGCCTGCTGTACCCATCACATGGGAGAGGCCTCAGTCAAAAAGTATCTCTCTCAAGGCAGTGGCTTAGGGACCTTGCTGAGATAGCATTTTAACAAAGAGCGATAAATCTTGTCATAGTGACAAAACAAAGAAGAAAGGAGTTCCAGTCATTTAAAAGGCAAGAAAATGTTGGAAGATAGTAAAACCTATTCCGAGATTCCTCTGGTGCCTGCTAGTGCCTTCTCTGGGATGATAAGCAAGTGCCATCTCCCAGTAGAAAGGATTTATGTCCCAC